ATTAATTTAAAATAACATGAAAACACTTATAAAATTAAATGAAAGTCTTTTATTTTAAATTACAGTAGTGCTATTGTTATTGTATTCTCTTTGGAAAATTGACCACCTGTGACTGCTATCAATCCCTGGTCTAATGTTGTTCAGTAGGCCAGTAATTGCTTTTTTTCCTGTGCCCAATTTTAATGACATATTTACTCCCAATATTCTTAAAAACATTTCTGGGGCACAGAAGTGCCCCCAGAAATGTTTTTAAGAATCGCAATCGCACTAAGCAATCTAATTTAATATAATATGTATTACTTGTACTTGTGAGATACATTGTGTTGTCATGCGATGGCCAAGTCAATCTACATATTTAAAACATAAATTTTTTTAACATTGATATGGTCACTATACAATTGTCGTTAAGTTAGCTAATTACTGGAGATGGGCCGAATATTCGTCTTATATTCGATATTCGGCAGCTTTACCGAATATTCGTATTCGTCCGAATATTCGGCTAAATCACCAAACATTCATTTTCATAGTGTCCAATATATTGAAATGTACGAATTGAGTAATGCAATATCTTTTACTGTAGAAAGTATGTTTTATTTATGGGTTAAATCTACTTACTTTAGAGTGCCTCAAATGCATAAATCTATACATTTATGTTTTTTAGGCACTGTAGATTTATTTCCGATTATAGCAAATAGAAACTTGATAAAATGTTTTGGAATCAAACAAAGAAACATTACATTAGTACATTCCATTTTACTTTGGTCGTCAGTTTCTCTAAAATAAGTCCAAATAGTAAATCTCCTGCTGCTCATTTTTATCATATAATTATCAATTTTCACTAAGAATAAAACATCGAAATACTTTTTTTATCACATGAATAGTCAAAACATAAGCATGTGCCGGCAATTTCCTCAGTACTAGATGATGCAATAACTGTCAGGTATGACGGGGAGCGACTGGCAGGGTCCAGCGCTAATCCCGCGCGCTTTACGGCAACAAGTTTCTATATAAATTGGTTGGGTCACGAGGTTATCCTGCCGAACAATGTTCGGCCGAATATTCGGTTCGGTAAAAGTTTTACCAAACATTCGGCCGAATATTCGTATTCGGTGAAATCCATATTCGGCCGATCCCTACTAATTACATAATAATTTAAAAGGGAAGGACCCTTAAGTAGGGACTGAATAAATTAACAGACTTGGTATTACATGGAACTCACAACTTTTTACGGTAGAAGAACTGAGTTGCGAGACTTGGTTATTTTTTACAAGTTATGGTTTGATAGCATTAATACTTACTTTAGCCCAGCCTTGACCATTATTATTTATTTTGTTCCTTCTAATGAACTTAGAGATTAATGCCTGTTTCCTCTGTTTCATGATGTTGAATTGTTTGAAAGTTGGATGGTAAGCTGTGTTATTGCATCAAAAAACTATTTCAAACTGCTTATAGTTATACCCAAATTAAATGGTGTTTTAGTAATTCACACATACTTAAAAAGCACTTCACCTTTAAGCTTTAAAAAATAGTTCTTCGAAAGTTGATCATAGTTTACTTTGTTTTTTTTTTTTAAATTTTGCAAAACAGCGTATTTTATTATAAATGTATGAAAATATGTTATGTTTGATGAATTATACCACTTCCCAGATATTTATACTACTTAAACGCTTGTTTATGAAAGTTACAAAGGGTTTATTATGCCTTCACCAGTTTAATGATAAATAAAAACATGCCTGTTGCTAAGAGTAATGCAGCTAACTTCATGTCTCACGACAAAAATTTTTGCCAATACAGGCGTAATACCAATTTCCATCCAATATTGACAAAATTGTTGTCAAGAGTATGGTAATTTGTCAAAATTGAAATTAAATTGGATTGAAATTGTTATTATATTCAAGAGTAAGCTTGAAGGTAAGTTGCTCCGACTATACTAACCCCAAATTCTATGGACCCATTAGCCTCACATCTTTACTCCTAAAAACAGTGAAGAAAATGTGTCAAAGGGAAATAAGGGGATAATTAAAGAGCTTATCACTGGATGTTGTATGATGTAAGTATGTTGTTTACCATACTTACAGCTCCAGTATAACAGAAGATTCGTCACTTCACCAGGCAGTAAATAGGATTGAAGAAGCTTCTCCAAACAAGTCCATATGTCTAAGATACTTCATAGCTATAGAAGATGCTTTGAGAAGACAAATTTCTCTAGTATAAAACCCAAACTTAACAGGCACCAAGTTGTTACTGGCTCTTACAGACTGATATGTGAATATACTTAGTGACCATACAGTGAAAATCGATGGAGAGTCAAAAGCAGACCAAATAATGAAAGGCTACCTACAATGAGGTGTTTTATAACCCCTCCTTAAGAACATAGAGATAAACAACCTCATCAGATGCAAATAAATTGTTTACAATATGATTTATATTTATATTATGAGATTATTTTTATATTTATGAGAGGATATGCAGATAACATAGCAATAGGCCAGCATTGTCTGTGACTTAACACAAGCGGCCCTATGAATAGCAATGATGGTGTTAAGACTATGAGTTAACTGCCATTTCAAAGCAGTGGCGAAGCTAGGGCTCCAAACTGGGGCAAGCCCAAGATATGGTTTTGTTTTTTTAGCAGTTTTAAAAATACCTCAATCTTGATCTGTCTCCCATTCTTCAGTTTCATATTCAGTTCTGTCGAGGACGTGTTTAACAAAGCACACAGAAGGCATACTACCGCTAGATAGGTTGTATGACCGTAGAATCAATCAATTTTCGTTCGATAAAATGACTTCACCTATAGAATTAAGTAGATGGCGCTATTAAAATTTTATATACTGAAGACTAAAGGAAATATTTTTTAAAAACCTCAATATATGATGTATTCATTTAATTTATTAAATTAAAATTTGGGCTTCACATTAAAAAAAAAGATTGTAACAATTATTGCTATAAAATTAAACTTATACCTAGGTATCTCATATTTTATGCTGCAGTACAAAATGATATTTTTAACTCATATGGTAATATAAGTATTGAGTTATTAAACCTTTAAATACGCCTAGAATAATTGAACTTTAATACTAAAGAGCCCTAAAATACCTATTAAAGTGTGAAGAAATGTTTATTGAATTAAAATTTTATTTTTAAAGATAATACCTTTTCCTCGCTGATTATCACTTTAACACACTTAATATTTATCACAAAGAACACTCTTTTCCTCCATTTTCACTAAAAATCTTTAAAAAAGTATAAATTTTCAACTCACAATATTTTACATTATAATATATTCGCTCCAGCTAACATGCAATGTAAACATTGAAATTTGTTGAATGCTGAAACTTGCAAACATATCATCGGCGTCGCCCGCGCGCCTCCGTGTCTCGACTAACTTCATACCTAACGTGACCATACGTCCCCCTTTAGGCAGGACGTTCCCAATTTAAAGGTTTGTGTCGCACTGTCCCAAAATACGTAAAAATGTCCCGCTTTGACAAACAAAAGCGTGACAATCATGCAAACTCTGTCACCCGTGCCAGCATTGTGACACTGCGCGTACCAGGTTTGCCAGCATGACTTGTATAGTTACGTGATTATTCTGAAAAGCTACACTTTTGAATTTAAAGTTACGAAGTGACAATTTTTAATTAATCTACAATAAATTATCAAATAACGTAAGTTATTTCCAATTAGTATTTATTTGATGTTCAGAATACACTTTAGATCATTAAAAGATTCAAACAACTATGTGTTTCATTTATAAACCTATATTAAAGGGCTTCAGATTGAATTTTGGTAACAAGGCCATTCTCAACGGAAAATAGCCATCTGCGCATCTGGATTATATTGCCCCAGTGTAATACTACTGCTACTGAGAATTTTGTGACAGAAAAACCCAATAAATGATTCATGACCCGACTCAGGTTTCGAACTTGGGACCACATGATCAGCAATTGCGTTTACGACCATTAGTCCAAGAAGGCAGTCAAAAGTGTTAAAACTATAATAATTTTAAAGGTGTCCCGCTCTGAGGAAAAAATTGATGATCACTAAGAAGCCGGGCTTATTATCTCCATACTAATTGCTATTTATACAATCATAGTTATGTTTCATTATAGAACATTTTGCCACAGGTTAGAAAGGGAGCGATGGCCTTCGCGAAAGCCCGGTAAAAAGCCCATGTGTGCGAGGGAGACAACCAATAGCTCAATCCAACTCTCCTTATATGTATGACAGCAGTATTCGTAAGGCTACGAGGTCGAACAGAGTGCGCGGGAAATTTGAAATAGTTTGAAACAGTTTACGAGTTATTTTATTACTTGATATAATTGATTGATTCATCTTAATGAGGCAAGCCGGGCTTCTGGGCTTGTATAGAGCCACTTCGCCACTGTCTCAAAGGAAACAATTTTGTAATGTTTACATGCAAACAAAAGCTAAACAGCTATCTCCCAAGCCTATTCAACACTAAACTCCAGCTATCTACTGAGGTTAAGTACATAGATGTAACCTTGGATAACAAATTAAACTGGATTAAACACATCATAAATAAAAGAAGCCAAATCAACATAACAATCTGACAATACATTAAACATGATTGAAATACAAACAATAGGGTATGTCGCCCAAGACTATGGTTGTACAAAACGGTGATTCAATGATCTCTTACAGCACCCTGCTATGGTGAACTAAAGCAAGCTAGTCGCCGCTATAAAAAAAACATACCACCTACCAACAAACCTACAGTAACAGGCTGCCAAAAAACTGCCCCAACTGCATTTTTTTTATTAGAGTTGTAAAAAGGAAAATGCTGTTGCTCATTGCCTGTTTAATTTTCTCCTATCTGTCTTTCGACCTCCACGGTATGATATAGATTCTCATACGTCGCAACTAAATAGCAACCTTTTATTGGATTGATTAATAACCAGTAAAGATAAAAAAGCAGCTAAAATTTTATAGGAACAAAAGTAAGCAAAAAGAAACGTTATACAGTATTTTCTAACCTCATAGTCCATGGCATCTTCGGCGAAATCATATTCTATGAATTCCCTAGGTAAACGTCCCTCTTCTACGTTATATTCCATTTTTACACAAGTTACATATTTCCAAAAACTACCGGGCATATTTTTATGCTGTTGCAGAATGAATAAATTTAGTAATTAGGTCTTTTTATGCAAATACACTGTTCACTAATAAATTTGAATAGGTAGTTACAATTTCTGTTTTGGATCTTTTCACAATAAACTTGTTTATATACTTTAACGTCATTATGTATGATTATGATGTACTTATTAATTTATAATCATAATCATAGACATAGATAAATAAATATGTAGCAATGGCAAGCTATTTAATTAATAACTTGTGGTGATTTGTGGTCACTGGTCATTATTCTTTTAATTCATAATATATTATTATTTTATCACAAAACTATGTACTTTAAGAGGTAAAAAAAAAGGCAAAAAGAACTCTGTGATAATGATAAGAGGATACTACCAAAGAGAATATAATCGTTATAATACTTGTAGATATTACCATTTACCAGTAATCTGCGTACTATAACGGTACGGTATAGTCTATGTAATAAAGCCTTGGATATATTTGGGGACTTAAACCAAGGTATTAGTGTTCTGTGACTTAACACATTCAGTGCCACCGACTCGCCCGGAGAGTTCACGTAAATCTTATTCCAGTGCCGACGACCGCGAGTTCAGTGTATATCTTTTTTTTTTTTTTTTTTTGCGCCCGAAGCAATTAAAGGGCTACCCTATACGTAGTGAGGCGGAAAATGCATTACGCATACCACGATAGCCGGTCTATCGTGGTTATGAGGGGCTCACTGTCCTACCGGGGACCCTAAGTGATACCCTCTAAAAACCGCCTTTGGGGACAGGCAACCGGCTGATTAAGCTCTATTGTGCCTTATCATGAGCGACCCTCTTTTGGGAAAAGAGGGCGCAGGCGGCTAAGTGCCGCTGAGGGAGTGCCTACGAAGGCAAATTAATGTTAGATATTACAATAATTTTATTTAATTAGAGTTGGCCTGAGCCGCCAGGAGACAGTTCAGGTCGTTTGAGAGTTTATTAGGCGGGTCCGAGAGAGAGTTTCTCGGCCTGCGGACACGATAGCGAGAGGGGGGTGGGGCTGCATAAGAAGCTGCCTCACGAATTAAATGGTTTGGGTGCGACTCTGAGGCTTTGAAGAAGTTCTCAGAGAGTTTTTTAAGAAATTGTTGAATTGTTGGAAGCTCTAAGTCCCGATGAAGGTCGGCATTGCGGACGTACCACGGTGCGTTCGCAGCTCGACGACAGAAGAGGTTCTGAACTATTTGGAGTTCATTTAAAATGTTAGGGTTTGCGTGGGCAAAGACGGGGCCCGCGTAGGACATGACTGGTCGTATACATACCTTGTAGAGGGTACGCTTGTTTCAAAGGGACATTTTACTGTGTCGGCCCAACATACTGTTGAGCCTACTCAGATAAAACCGTGCGTGACGGGTTACTCTTTTGACGTGGGGCTTGAAAGTGAGCCCTGTGTCTAGAGTGACACCTAAATATTTGGCGGACGTATGCCAGGGGACAGGGGTCCCTAGCATACGTATTGGTGGAGTGTTTTTGAGACGGCGTCGTTTATAATCGAAGTGGACGGCTGAGCTCTTCTCCGGGTTCACATCGATGCGCCATTTTTTGAACCAAGCTCCTAGGTCATCAACTGACTTTTGGATCTTGTTCCGTATAAGGGGTAGTGAGACACCTTTGCAGTAGATGGCAGTGTCATTTGCAAAGAGGGAGAGTTGAACACCTTTCGACGGGATGGGAATGTCGTTGGTGAACAGGATGTACAGCAGAGGAGCAAGTACTGAGCCCTGAGGTACACCAGCCTTGATAGTTCGCTGTGAAGAAAGCGTGCCTTCGTGTCTGAAACGAAAGGTACGATGTTTTAAATAGGAGGCCACGAGACGAACTAGACGATCGGGGAGACCTATTTTATAGAGCTTGTAGATGAGGCCTGTGTGCCAGACTCTATCGAAAGCTTTGGCTATATCGAAAAAGACCGCGATGGTCTTATGACGACGAGAGTGTATATCACAGATCACTATATATATATATACTATAGGATAGGGTGACAAACGAGCACACAGTCCACCTGATGGTAAGTGGTTGCTGTGTCCCATAGACATTTACATCCATCCTCGATTAAGAATCAAAATGCAAATGCTTTGCCACCCGTGAGGACTAAGATGGAATGCCCAGTTTCTAAAGGTGGGCGAAACTGTTATATTTTTCTAATTCGTTATGTTGTTGTAATATACTTTTCTAACTGTTGTTTTAAACTGTTATAATATATTATAACAGTTTCAAATATGAGACTGTACACGCGGTTAGTTCAGTTCAGTTGTTGGCTGTGTTAGCATTTTTTTTGTATGTTGTTATAACGATTATAAACATTTAACGATTATAAGTATTATATGAAGACAAAAAAAATATTTTTAAGTTGTATTAGCATCATTTGAGTGTTTCATGTTTTAAAAGAGAATCATTTAAAATATGTATGTTAAGTTTAATGAACTTCCCTTCCTACTTTTTACAGGCTTAGGACTGTCCGAATGTATGTTAAGCTGTGTAATTATTTTATCTGTTATAATTATTTACTCATATTTTCAAACATTTTAATAAAGATAACTCATTCAGGCGTGGTTAGAAATTTATGGATGTTATGTACATTTTGATTGAATTTTTACATTATTTAAACTGTGGTCAAAGTTTTAGTTATCTAAAATTATTTTCATTTCTTTTTCAGTTACATTATTTTTATTATTATTATTATTTTTATTCAAATACATTATTTGGTTTACTTTTGACGACGTAAGCCTTGTGAGTCTATCCGATATTAAATCCGAACGGCAAAACTCTTCATACACTCCTACGTGTCTTTGCTTAAGGTGAAGTTTTAAATTTGTAATTGTACTTTTGAAAGATAAAGTTTTTTTAATTGCACACTGCTTTTTTTTCGTCCACACTTTGGACTTAGACTTAAAATAGTTCCAAATGGCTGCGCTATGCTGACGCGACATTATTATACACTTTTACATACAACACGCTAAATCCTATCTATATTACACTAAATATTTAAAATTACTTTAGGAATAAAACTTAACGAAAAATAAACAAAAACAACAATAGCTTTTTCACGTAATATGGGGACCTGCTATAAAAACATTACGTATATAATTTAACAGATAACAGTGTTATTGTCATCTCAGCTAGACAGCTAACTGAACACTAATATATTACAACAGCCAAAAAATTAAATAACAGGCACAACAGGCAACAGCTAGCAATGAAAGAAATATTTTTGTTTACCGTTATAATTTAGTGTTAGTAAAATAAGCTCTTATTAAGTTAGCTTAGAGTTTAAATTAGTGTAAGCTATCCTATGTACGCAATCCTTGTGGCATAATGAATGTAGTATTTTATTGACTCCCATTGTGGTGCCGCGCCTCGGCCGACGGCTGGACCGTAAACGTAAACAGATGACGTTTTCTAACGATAATGAATATATTATAACAGTCAATGGTCCATTATTCTAATGTGTTGTAAGATTACAAATATATAATGAAATATATTATCTGTTGTATGTTATAACGCCCAACCAACGGTCCAAAAACGGTCCAAACGGCCCAACGGGTAAACCGTTTCCAGTAAATGGGTCTCCGGTTCTCTACACTTACCATACGAAATACAGCAGCATTAAGCTACTATTTCACGCTGGTATTCTGTGAGAGCATGGTCCTTCCCCGGTCGAGCCGACCCATTCGAAAAAAATATATATATACTAGTCTACGACAGATAGGACAGTACTCTGGTTGACGATTAGTTCCAAAAATATGCGCAATAGCGTTTATGTCATAATGTCACCTAGTGGTGACCCACAACATACTATTGAAGTGTCGATGACGATACGGCAAAGAATATCGATAGCATAGTGATGTGCCATAATTTTTATAGGGATAATATTTGCAAGGTTTATTTTTTTCTCTCTTTATGTTCATAGGATACGAATATAAAAGGATGTAAAAATAAAACGACTAGACATTTTACTTTTTATAATTTTTTCCTCTTAACCTATGGGTTCCAAATTTATCAAAGGCAATTTGTTGAGGTGCACACATCTGTCCACAAGTCTTTCTTGTACACCACCTTTTAAAATTTTATTTATTATATTGCATCAATTATGGACATTGGTACGTATCATTAAATTAAGCAACCATTCCTTTAATTCAGTTTTATGATGTGTACACCCCAACCAATTTAAATCCAATTTCTTTATTATTTCAATTTTTAAATTTTTTTTATACATTTTTTGTAAACATACTTATTTAGGCAATCATGTATAAGGCCCGAGATATCCCTATATAACATTAAAAACTTCTTTGATGGATAAGTTAAATTGTTATATTTTAAAAGGGTGTATTCCCGTTGTTCAATCCATTTATGAAATACATCTCTATTTGTTTGGGTATAAGTCTCAGAGCATCTCCTACAGTTACATTTTTTTGTCACTCTTGCACATATACCCTGCTGTATAGGCAGAAGAGTGTACACGCAATCTTTCATTCACTGGATTTAGTGCCCGATCGCAACTGATAATGTTTTTGGTCTTTGTTATGGGTCCACTACATATAGCATTTTCTTTATCTTCATCAAATATTGATGAGGAACTCTCATCAACTTTGGATGAGGATATGAGATGATAAAGGAGATACAGCAATGAATCTATTATTGTATCTCCTTTATCATCTTCACAGTTTGTATATATTGAATGTAGACCCATAACATTAGCAGTGATTTAAATGCATTCATAAAAGCATTTGCATCAGGATTGACATTCCTGTAGTTAATGGCTCTGATCCTATCAAAAAAATTCTCGAGAGGATCCTGATTTAAATTTCTAGGATAAAAATATTGTATCTCATATTTTTGGAACAACAGTTTAGACAACCTTTCGAAACTTTCTATAGTTGTAACCCATCCATTAAGAGAAGGAACTCGAACTTTATAGGTTTTGTTATTTTATTTTTATCAACCAAATGAATATTTTTTAATATTTGTTTTGCTTCTGTCCAAAAATTGTAGGGTTGATGGGCATTCGGCTTTAATGGTCCACGCAGTTTTCCCCGGATAGTGCTCCCTCGAGAACCATTCACACTATCAAAGAGCTTATTAATGAATTCTACAGCTTCACCTGTTGTGGCCATTGTTTCACTGACATTTTCACCCCAGTTTGTAGTTTCTGAAATATAACATAATTATATAAGTTTTACAGATAAAAGTATACTAAGTAAATTAGTAAAGTATATAATTATTACACATAAACAAACAAACAAAAACAACAACAGAGTATCTCTATCCTATCATTATCGGTACATTACTTTGAATCATACACCTTATCAGTCTTCTATATTGAAACTTAATTATTAAGAATCAAATTCTTTTTAAACAAAAGTAATTATATAGTGTGAATTGATTCAAATACTACATCTGCCAGTGAGTCCTGTCAAAGTCAGTCCAGCTGTTTCAGAGATTAGTCTGAACAAATAGACCGATAGACATGTGAATTTGATTTATTTATATAGTTTATTATATTATAGTTATTTATTTAATTCGATTTATTTATGTAGATTATTTGATAATGCATATTGATAACAAAGTAAAAACTTACTGAACAATACAGTGTATTTAAGCATTCCACTGGTGGTTGCACTCAGAGTTTGGGCAGCTACACTAACTTTCATCTTCTTCATTTTTGCTGCATAAACATGGTGCTCTGTTAACTTTTTATGTATTCTAGTATGACCTAGCTGGCAATCAGAGTCAAATACAGTTTCTATATCCTTCCATGTGGCAACTTTGCCTTTGAAAACCATGTCTTTTGTAAGAAGGTTGTTTCTAAGCCCTTTAAGTAAGTGTGGCGGATCATATACCACACTTAACTGTTGTCCTGATATCTCAATAGTTCCATCTGCAAACAAACAAATATTATGTTCAACAAGTTAATTTCATGCATTACACAGCCAATCTTACTAATTTGTAAATGTCAAAGTTTAGATGTTTGTTATGCAATTATAGTTTAACAGCTGAACACATTTAGATGAAATTTGGCACACAGATAGACCACAACCTTGACTGACATACAGATGGATATATTGATATTATAACGATGATGGATACTTTTAATTCCAGATCATTTCCAATGGCTATGCAGACAATGTACATGTTAAGGCTATTTATGTTTTTATTTGTAAAGTGTGGTTATCAACTCACCGTTATATTCCTCATTTAAAATCCTTTTACGCTGAGTCTCCATTTTTATTATATTTATGGCTGTTCTAAATGTCGAGCCTTGGTCACACACAATAGCTTAAGGTATGGAATCTGATGCTGACACTTTAGTGACCACTTCCTTTAAAATCCTTACTACTGTAGCAGCTGCAGTTGTTCCCTCACAAAAAAAGTAGAACAGTGGCTGTCTCCAGTTTGAGTACACTCCTTTTAGCATGAATACTAAGGCGTGATCGCAAAACCTCAATTCTTTTCCATACCCAAATTCTTTAAAACCTCTTATCTCATCTTGGGACTCAACATAAGTGAGATGAGGTGTAAGACTAACTTCATCAAACAAAATAGAGCACATTTCCTTTTTTGTGTCCCAATTTTTTGTTTTGTGCTTTAGTACTCTAAAAATATTATCATTTAGCCCTACATTGAATATTATATTTTCAGCAAGACAGTTTAGTGTTCTTTTATTGGGCAAATTAAATATTTTTTGTAACAACCTATAACCTTTTGGGCTTTCCTTCATTAGAGTCAATGCCAAATGCTTTTCGTTGGTAGTGTATCTCATTGCCTTTTTCTTTCTGTTTGCCATTTTTAATTGCATGAGTAGAAAATCTTGGGCTTGTGACATTTTATTAAAATTTTTATTAAACAATTGGCTGCAGCTCAGAGTCTTAGCAGCATCCAATCTTTGCAAAAATGATTTCTGTGACTTGTTTTCCTTAATGGCCATTTTTCTCATTTTTTTATAAAGCATCTACAGTTTGTGGTCAATTTATTAGCTGTAAAAGAATAATTACATTATTTAGTTCATAAACTGTTATAATATGCATTGACACAGTACTTTTTTAGATTCTATCCACGAAGCAAAACAAGTGTAAAGAATTTTATCATATGTATGCCGTAATTTCTACACAATAACATGATAAATTTCTTTTCTGAAAGAGTTTTGAGTACTTTATGTTTCTGCAACTAATATAGCTATAACTGTGAGATTTGTAAAAAGCTCTTTAAAGTTTTTGTTAAAAACTGTTAGTTTAAAAAAAAATTTACCTCCTCCCCCAATAACAATTTTTATTGGTGTTTTATTTTGCTTCACAGTGCGAATCAAATCTGTAAATAGAAGAAACATGCAATTATAAGTAAGGGCGATTCAAGAATATAAGGCACCTATTTAGGAACCTCAGCAATGTTATAATGTTTGCCATCAGACTATTTCTTACTACAATATTTTTTTCAATATTGCTTATTAAATTTCATTTTTGACATCTCTAAAATAAAATCAATCATAATAGACATCATAATCATAGTGAGATATTGGGTGCGTTTGGCAGAAAAAAGCGCTAGCAAGCGCTTACAAGCGCTGAAATAGTTTTCGGCCAGGACACGATTACTACTTCAGTAGCGCTGACACAATCCGCCATTTTGCTTATTTAATTTGTTTGTTTTGAAGTAGAGTTTTTAAGTTGTTTTGTGCAATATTAGTTTTAAGTAATATAATAACGTGAATAAACATATACATGTTATTAAAAATTCATGAGTGTTAAGTTTTTAATATGAATACTTTACAAACATATATTTAAATTAGGTTAGATTCCTCGGTTAAAACTAACATCGTGTCCTGGAGGAAAATAGCTATTTACGATTTGACAGCGCTTAGGACACGATGTTAGTTTTAACCGAGGAATCTAACCTAATTTAAATATATGTTTGTAAAGTATTCATATTAAAAAATTACCAATCATGAGTTTTTAATAGCATGTATATGTTTATTCATGTCATATATTACTTAAAACTAATATTGCACAAAACAACTTATAAACTCTACTTCAAAACAATCAAATTAAATAAGCAAAATGGCGGATTGTGGCAGCGCTACTGAAGTAGCAATCGTGTCCTGGCCGAAAACTATTTTAGCGCTTATAAGCGCTTGCTAGCGCTTTTTTCTGCCAAACGCACCCAATGGGTATGTTCCGAAATACAACGCAGTCGAAAAGTACTGTCCAATGCAAATGACGTATCATTTGACACTTTATTGTACTAGCGTGCCGCCGCCATATTGTGTCGGATATCCGGCCATAATAAAACAATTTTTAATTGTGTGTTTGCCGAATGAAGCATGCCAGAACTTGTTTCTATTTATTCAAATACAAAAAATTATAGAATAATTGATGGTATATCCATTAGTATGATATAATGATTTTTGGAGCACAAAATGACAAAATAATCGCCAACACTTTTCCAAATGGCGCAAAAGTATGACGTCATATACTGTCCAATGTTTTAGAACAAATCACCAGTATAGCGTCGATTCATGACGTCATTTGCATTGGACAGTACACTGCGTTGTATTTCGGAACACGCATACCCAAAAATAAACTGCTTTAAGAGTTTGTGGTAGGCGTGAGCAGCAGATGAAGTTGTATTGTAAATTGATTTTATGTATAATTTTAAAATGTATTGTCCAAGATTTTACTAACAAAAAAGAAATATAAATACCTGTTGATTCTGCTTCCAATATTGATATGGAGGGATCTTGGTCAATTTCCATGCCTTCTGTCATTTGTGAGCCAGATAAACTAGGACATGTGTGTCCTAAAACACAGAATTACTTTTTCACAATCACAATCAACACATCAAAACAAATCAAAATCAGTAACAAAAATTAGGTAAACTATTACCTTTTTACTATTAACTTATCACCTTATTACTACCAACTTATCACCTGCTACTGGTAACAAAATGGTGCGAAACTGACGCGGGACACGTGCGCTCGCTCTCGGAGCGGGAACAAGCAACACGCCCTGCGTCACATAAAGCGGGCTACATACGAGACGATATCGGTGGCGATCTAGGGTGGAAATAAATCGGGGCTTTTATCGGGGCAGACCCTACACACGGGCCTGCCTAGCAGTACGCGTTCGGACTTGGAGTGGAACGCATATGCGGTAAACTTTGATTATATACATGTCTAGATAGAGTATTTCGCTACAATCGTAACAAAAACAACGGGTCCGATTTCGAGAGCTTGTGTGCTTATTACACACACAAGTATGCGTAACTAAAAGCGCGCTGCGTCCCTCGGGGGTAGCTGAGTGATACCAGCTCTTGAATATTTCCCATTATATTAAGCACTCATTTGTCATTTTAATTTTTTTATATATATACTTATTTTGATTTGCCTAGTTACAAAATAATAAAGATTCACATGACAATTGTACTGTTAATTAATTTTATTTAATTTGATATAAATTATTTATATACTGACTTGCTTACTTATAATGATTTGATATATTATGTTAATTTCACATGTCAGATATGGTAAACATGTGGACTATGTACAACTTTTTGTCATCTTTAATGTACCATGTTTATTGGTGTTTATATAGTTAGTTTTGGTATTTATGTATTTTTAGTCATGTGTATGTGTAGTTTTAGTCATAGTTTTATAAATATATAAATGAAAATGATGAATATACATACATATCGATAAAATAAAATACATGAATAAAATACATTAATAAATAAAATCCAACCAGATGACTTCGCCAGGGGGAGAACAAAGGGCGGAGGCTTTGATTATATACTCCTTTTTATCAGATGAAAGTTAAACAAAATTGGTTTAAAAAAATTATTATGTAAATTTGTTTTATTTATTTTATTTAAATATATAATAATAATTGAAAGAACTAACAAAAATACTATTTAGTGCATGAATCATGGGTTTCATTTATTTTGTGTAGGACCTAACATTTACTGATAAAATAACTAAAGTAATATTTAAAATAATAATGTTCTCCTGATCGAAAGGTGATGTAATAATATTTGTATTTTGTCTCCCATAGTTTCGTCAAAACTCCCTAGTAGTAAACTGACAACACCGGCTGGTCAGACTAACCTACAAAGTAACGAATTAAAACATCGTGTTTTCATACAACAATAGTGGTTAAATAACAAAACTTATTGATGAAAAGTGCTATTGGTGTAATTATACGGTTTTCTCACATAATTGCGACACAATTTAACAGCACATACCGGCATAATTAATTATTTTCCGTGAGCACGTTATCCCTTAGTGATTCAAATGACACTGACGTAGGTGAGAAGCGACTCTACCAATTTTAGTAGACTTTATTTGGGCCGTTCTGTCCGGACAATGTGGCATCTAGACATGTATATAATCAAAGGCGGTAAAGTTCTTCAAAATGCCTCCGACTCTCTTAAAACATCAACGTGTTGGATTGGCATTAGCCATCTCGGTTAATTTATTCGAAAATAGAAAAAGATGAGTTGCTGGGTGAAAAAATGGCTCCAAAAGAGACAAAAATTAAGCCACATAAACGTACTAAATGGTCTGTAATCCAAAGACATGATTAATTTTCTCCGGATAGATGAAGACAGTTTTTACAACCTTCTAGAATTTTTCTATATTTATGATTTCGCAACTTATATAAAAACATCAATTTCTCCTACCTATGCTATTTAGTTATTTCTTCTCTTTGTTCATTTCTGCTTTGGTCAAAATCTGGTTATTTACTACACACAACAAACAAAGAAATAAAATACTTTTGTATAATAATATGTATACTTTTTTAATGTAATCTTTATTTATGGATTAAAACTATCAAAAAATGAAATAGCTTATATCTTTTTTTAAACATAAAGACACCTTTAATTTCGGACATAGGTACTCCCTTCTATATAGCTTGTTTGTTGATATGGAGATGGTGAAGGAGTAGGAGTTAGTTGTTGATGAGAGGATGAAGGCACGTAAGAGATATGAGTGCAGTCTGCGTGATGATAGCGTTGGAATGTGAGTTAGTTGTTGAGGAGAGACTTTATCCTCTCCTTACTTACTTCATACACCCTACTTTATGAACGGCAATAACACAATTAGTTTAGTAGGCATTCTTGACTTCGCAAGGTCACAGGCTAGGGTGTGGATATGATTTGAATTTCGATAAATTTTAATTAATTTATTTATTCAAATTATTTTTTGTTTTTGTAAAATATCAGTGCCATAGGCTTCTACTCCGTTCACATGTTTAAAATGTAAAAATTTTGTTATGTAAAAAAAGGTCATTCAGTATCATTGTTCCGTTAACGTCCTTCCGCGGGGCTGCCGACAGCGACTGCCAAATGTAGCCCGCTTAAAGGGTATGTTCCGAAATACAACGCAGTGTACTGTCCATAGATAAATAAATAGTAGAGGTAATGTCCAATGCAAATGACGTATCATTTGACACTTTATTGTACTAGCGTGACTCCGCCATATTGTGTCGGATATCCGGCCAAAATAAAATAATTTTTAATTGTGTGTTTGCCGAATGAAGCATGCCAGAATTTGTTTCTATTTATTCAAATACAAAAAATTATAGAATAATTGATGGTATATCCATTAGGAGGATATAATGATTTTTGGAGCACAAAATGACAAAATAATCGCCAACACTTTTCCAAATGGCGCAAAAGTATGACGTCACATACTGTCCAATGTTTTGAAACGAATCACCAGTATAGCGTCGATTCATGACGTCATTTGCATTGGACAGTACATTGCGTTGTATTTCGGAACATACCCAAAATGTTGCGGGCTATGTTGTGGAAAATATGGACAAAATAAGGGAGGCGCTGCCATCGCAAAGTTGTCTCAATAAAAGTCATTTTCAGTCTATTTTTCCGATCAGATGCTAAACCACTTGCACATTCTATTTCACCATTTTTAATGTTTCTTTTTGTCAAAAATTAAAAAATTACGGAGCACGATTATTTTCTCACCAAAGCCGAGAAGAAAATTTGTACGTTATTCAACTAACTTCATCTACTCGTACTCATAAACAGCTAACTTAGCAGATACGACTAACCGACGACAGTTCAAGGACAGACGTGCTATGCTTTAGGACGTAGCGATCGTTCTCCTTCTCTCTAACCTCCATGATTTGTACAAATTACCAAAGATAAATTGTATTTTTCATGGATGTTAGAAAAAAGGAGAACGATCGCTGTAGAAAATAGTGTCCCAGAAATATGGACAAAATAAGTGAGGCACTGCGATCGCTAAGCTCTCCGAATAAAAGCGGGCTGTTGCGCGCTAGTTTGAAATTATAATAATATCATTCAAAGAAAAGTAAAAAAATAACGAAGTTATTATTATTTATTAATAAATAAATTATAAATATGTTTTTTATAATTTTAATTATTACAAATATCATAAATTATTTGTTATGTATCAATATCCGGAACCATCTTGACTCAAGCACTTGTCTTTCCGCCTAAAGTCAACACTTCCGGCTACCTTACCTGCATGGAGGGGGCACCTCACCACTGTTTTTGCTTTGTTATTTAAGTAGTGATGAGTTAAGTAGTGATGAGTACCAGGTCTCGTCGATGCGCCCTCCTTTCTGCCAAGGAGGGTCGCGTTCGTATACGGCTTAGAGATGTCTAGTCAGATCGTTAAGCATCAGTACAATTCCTAAAAGGTTGGGTTTAGTGGGTAAAAGTCACCACATTACCACGCAGCCGGCTGCGTGGTATGCTATGAGCATTCCCAACCTCCCTCCCCCGCTTTCCGGAGGGTTGCCCATATTTGCTTCGGGCGCAAAAAAAAAACAGGTCTCGTCATTATAGCGTTGTTTTTCGCGCCTTTCGCAAGTCAGCCTTTGTATGCACGAAAAAGTTTCAATTTTACTAAAACTAAGTGATAAATGACTACCCTACTGATAAAATATGGAGGAACAGTGTCGACGAAGCTACATTATTAAATTCTCAAAAACGTGTGCGTACTTCATCATCGAGTTCGGATAGCAGTGATTCGTCAGAATACAGTGTTTGCAGTCAAACAAGAAAAGAAAAATGGATCAAACCGTGAGTAATGAACATTTTGAATTTTTATACCAGCAAGTCGCCTTTTTAACTAATATTATTACAAAATCTAGTGAAGTTACATGCCAAAATCAAAAAATAGTCCCTTCACTTAATCTTAACTTGCACCGACCTACAACAGAAGGCGGTGACAAAATAAACCAGCTCAAGCTATCAGATTTGAGAACCACGGTAAAAGATCCTATTTATCGACGTGCAAATGTAATAATACATTTAAAGAAATTAGTAGAATTACAGCGTTTTAATTGTGATGATTGGTGTGCTGTACGGTTTGTCGATGCCCAGAAGAAATATTTATCTACCCGCGGTTTCATCGAGCTTGCTGTAAATGATTCGCTAAAACGATTTGAATTTGCAATGTTGCGTGATGATCCTCTTTCTTATTTGCTAGAACGCTCCTTCGCCGGATTACTCCTTACTTTGCCAAAAAGAGGTATAACAAAGAGCATTACAAGCACTAGTAGATTGGGCCAGTGATTCTCAACAAACATAGACTCCAAATACATTATTTGATACAATGGAGACGTTATTTTCTAAGGAGTCACCATATAGCAAAGTAACTGAAGATTTCTTTCAAATAGTTTGTGGTAGATGAGCGGATCTTGTTAGCTTACGCACGGGTTCATTACTGCGACAGATTCCTTAAGAATATCATCGCGAGGTTTTGCAAAAAATCCATCCTAACGTAGAAACTCTATTCAACGACGATTCCA